CAATGATGCATGTACGGACTGCTGAGCGTGCGCTCCGATCTGAGCTTCAATTTACTCAAGGATGCTACACGTTTAAAAACGCGAGTGCGTATCCGTGATATCAACGAGAGGATTATGTGCTTTGTTCATAAGTGGATAAATATTTGGAACAATCTACAAAGCGACCGCATATCATAACAAAAAAAGCAAACAGAAGGGACATTAGTGGTTGTTTGTGCAAATAAATGGGCTGTTTGTTTTATCTTGAGATGAAAGCACACATCTTCGACAGGAAGTGTCGATGATACATAGAAGAAATGTTGAAACGCCAATTTCCTCTTTTAAGTATCGAATGCTTCGCGCGTTTGAAGTGATGAAGGCTGCTGATGGGTTAGCTTTTTGGGTGGCTTTGAATGCATCGCCTAACTGAAACTACTGAGTTCGACTGCAGGTTACACAATTTTCAGAACTGCTGTAATTCAGTAGGTGCACAGTCTATCACAAACAGGCCTAAATAACGCTTGTACTCTGGTGTTAAAATTAGGCTTAAATCATGAAACTGTGGAGCTTGTTGATTCTTCACTTAGATTCTATGAGCATTCTGAAAATTCATAACGTTTTTTCCTAGTATTTATATCAGTGAAGAATGCAAAATAAATACAACTGTTTCATGCCAACTCAAGTCGAAAAGTTGACCCGCTAAATGAACTCGGCGGACGATTAGATTCTGCATAAAACTCTGCTCAAATAAAATATGCTCTTCAAGGACACCCTTAAAACAGTTCTTTTACTACCAGGAAGTCAATGTTTTGTTTGAGAAGTGCACCATGTATGCGCGAGCAAGAAAAAGCGAGGGCGCCGTGAGTTACATTTTACCATGGAATTTCAAACACCTTAGTTTTACAGTCTAGTGAATGATTCGCAACTTACCAAATCCCGCATTGCAGAAGGCTTCCTGGGGATGTTGCGGCATACAACTGCAGGCCTGGCTTAAAGCCACGAAACCCAGGAACAAAGCAGCGTGAACGATAAAGGACATTCTCTCCTTGTGTCGTTGTTGTACACTTCAACTCTCTACTTTGCCTCGCTTGTTGAGGATTAAAAAGAGTGATTGCTGTATCTGATAGCTGGTTCAGTTGCAGCTTATATACTGACATCATCAGCGCGTGTCAAATGTGATATCCCGCAGAGCCGGGTGCAGCTGACGAAAGCTCCGTGCCATGCGTCGCTGAAACGCGTAAGCAGCAGAAATATGTGTTACGAAACCGTATTTCCTCTTAAAGTGTGAAATAAGCGTCCTATTTCTCACTTCCTTTATAAAACATGAAGTTAACTGGCACATTCCTGTCATGTCATCTGCCGTGCATGTTTTGTGATGAAACGTCAGGGGCCATTTTTTTAACGCTTGAGGGGACTCGGAGGATTTTTTTAGACCAGAGGAGTATGGAATTAGAAGTAGAACAAATTCAGTAGGAACAGTGGAAGATTGGAATAGTAAAATATTGGAATAGTGGAAGATTGGAATAGTGGAAGATTGGAATAGTAAAATATTGGAATAGTGGAAGATTGGAATAGTAGAACACTGGAATAGTGGAACAGTGAAACAAAGGAACAGAGGAACACGAGAATAGGGCAAGAGAAGAACAGAGGAACATGATAAGGTATAAAAAGAGCTCGGACGAAATGAACAGAGGATTAAAAGTATACAAGGACAATAGAAAACGAGGAACGGTTAAACTGAGAGGAAAAATAGGAACAAATATACAAAGGAACAGAGGAATACACGGACAAAAGAACGGATGGAAAGAGAAACGTAGAAACATAAAGACAGAAGGAGGACCAGAGGATAAACCCTCACCTCTTTATAGTATCAGTAAGAGACGAAGTGGCTTAATGCTCATTGCACTGGACTCCTGGTCGAGAGGTCCTGGGTCGAGAGGTCCTGGTTCGAGACCTGGCATAGCGTTATGTTCTTGGGCAAAACACTCTCATCTCACAGTACCTCTCTACCTTGAATTCTCAGGGAAGCCTGATGAAATGCCGAGGGGAGGTGGGTGGGCGAAAAGGACCTTACCTCTCTTCATAGTATCAGTTCCTGACTTGGCCGTGGTTTTCACGTTGGCAGTTATTGGTTTAGAAAACACTTCTGGGACGACTTTTTCAATCAAATTTCCTTTTAAAAACGTTTGGTTTAATCTTGGCAAAAATTTGCCATTCATGATACAAAGATCGAGAAAAACGTCATTAGGTTAATGAAAATATCTATCAGCCATACTCGGCATTCTGTGTGTGTTTTTTTTTCTAAAAGTCTAAAACTAACGAAGTGAATTGGCTAATATTAAAGTGTTTTACTCTTTTCTCTCTCTCCCTCTCTTTCGTTTTAGTCTTTTTTTGCATGTTCTTTGTTCAGTTCCTATGGTTTCACTTTGGTGATGCAGGTCTTGTAGTGACTGGTTTTACGTCAAGAGCATGCGGTTTTCTCAGCATTTTGAATGCAGTAGGAATGACCCCATTCG